CATCTCCTTCAACCCTGACTCCATCCACAGCTTTCACTCTTCCTTCTGATGAAGTGATCTGATCCTTCTGGTGATGCCACCGCAGTTCAAGGTGACATTTACTCTTTATTCTCTACTATTTGAGAGTAATGGCCCTTGATGGGCTCATTAGAAGACACTTGAACTGAATAAGTGACTTTCTTAATGTAATTATGCACACAGGCCACAGTTTTTACAACACACACACATGCATGTATATATTAGATCTACAAGGTGCTAGATAAACTTTAATTTGACTTACAGTGATTGTATTTTCTTTCACTTCTGTGGTACTGTTTGAATGGAGAGAAAATGGTCCACAGTTGAAAGGAACTGCCTAAGTGTACGCTGCATATTTCTCTCTGTGTTGAAAATGGAAATCTGTACGTGGCAGAGATTCAAACTTCAGTCTAAACATATTTATTATTTTTAGTTTGATACATTTCTTGTTGTCACCTTGAATCTGTATCATTTTCTGACATATGTAGTAAATGCAGTCTCTTTGTAAGGTCTTGGAAAACACAGATGAGTTATATGACCTTTACAGAAAGTGTTGAACACGGGCCTTTAGTTTTCGGAAACAAATCTCAGAGATCTGCAACTCCTCCCACTAATGAGTCACACTCACCAAAAGAGGTTGCATTGGGTGCTGTTGGCCTTTGCTTGATGTTGCATTTGGTATGATGATGTCATTGTTTCATTTGCTATTTTTTAGATTAACATTGCAATCTATCTATTTTTGACGTCAACAGGCTTTTTGACTCAGTCAACACACACACTAATACAAAGTCTGTAGAGAAATGGAGAAAAAATATTCAGAACAATTCACTTTTACATCACTTGAGCGTAAACCCATATCTGCTCTCATTGTGAATATCTCTTTGTCTATTCCCCTAAATAAATTGATGTTTAATACTTGACTTTAGCAAGTACAGTGCTTTTTTTTTTTTTGTAAAAGAATGTTTTCCATTCAAAAACCACAAAACCTGTCCAGATTGATGTGTATTTACATGATGGAATTAGGATGTAAATGACAGGTCATTTTCTGTCATTAAATTTAAATCTTTGTTTTGTGTGCCTGATTCAATACACAATGTCTACAGAATCTACTATGGAGGGCCATGTCCTAGATATGAACAACCCTCTCTTTCCTCACTGTCTCCCAGAGGAACGCTGAATATATATGGCTTCTCCCTGGTGAGGATGGCGCTGTCTCGTCTGACAAACTGCCCCTCTGTATGTGGTGAATCAGCAGCAGAAGGGCTTGAAGAATGGCTCCAGTGATCCAAAGCTGAACATCTAAGTGCCTCCAAATACCAATGAGATGCAGGCTAAACATTGCCTTCCTTATATGCAGATGCCTTTAACAAAGACAAAGTTCAAATGATCAACCTGGTGGGAAAATGCTTAAAAAGAAAATGAACTAAATTGACTTTTAAAAAGTGTAGGGGTTGATTCTTTGTTCAAAAGACAACACAGACAATCCGTTGTGTTTGAAAACTGCAGCCTAATAGACAACATTTGTCATTTATGGAGACGCATTTAAAAAATAAAACATGCCAGCAGTCAAGTGTTTCCATCATAAAAATGTGTTTTACTTCGGCCTGAGAAAGATGACATTTAGAGCCTCGATTCTGCCCCTTTCATAGTCAGCACTGTGTTTTTCGAAAGGAGATAATAAATGTTGTAAATGGTGAAAGATGATTTGTTTTTCCTGTCTGGGATGAGATGAGGTGACAACACGAGTTTTTAATTAAGTTTTTCTCTGGTGCAGATGCTGGACAGCGGAGTGAGATGAATCACAGAGGACAACAGCTATCTGCGTCTTTACTAGCGTGCGCAGAGCCGCTCTTTGACAAACTATATGACCACCATTCAATCATAAAACCAGTGCAGAGACCATCAGGATTCAATTGCATATCTTTATTCCTAGTCTGTTCCCTCCCTTGACAGTCTTTGTGCTTGTCTTTGTGACGTTGCTGTGGATGTGTTTGGGCTGAAATGTTTCATATTTGCTTAGGAAAAAATACATGCCATTCTGAGGTTTACTTTCAATGATTCTCTTCTCTGTCCCCTTCCACTGAATTTGTTTTCCTCATGAGTGATATGGATACAGAACCGTCTATTACATTAATTAATGAAAATATATAATATTTCTCTCGGTTGTGCACTAGCACCCATAATACACATGTGTATAGATGGATTTAAAATGTCACACTCGACAATGATTGCTTATGAAAACAAGCAAATCCATGCTGTGCTATAGAGTCCCATTATCAGCAATGGATGTGACGTGTTTAATTGGATATATTAATTGGATTTAGCTAGGCAACATACTGTGATAACATGACTTCCTATTAGGAAATGCATGTAGAGGACAGTCTCTCACAGTCTCCTCAATGAGCAATCAATGCAAAGTAATTACTCCTTATCTAGAATGGATACTGTTGATTTAACCTGCAAATGAAAAGTCAACTCGGTAAACACTGAGAAGTTTTGGAATTAACATGGTAATTAAAAAGTGATACAACCAGGTAGAACGGCTGAAATAATATAAATGTTTTAGAAAGTGAGGAACACAAAATAAGTGTAAACCTACTTTATGAAATGATACGGTATAAGTTAACAACTGGGGCTGCATGCTGGTGTGGTAGTTAACATTGTTGCCTCACGACAAGATATCTGGGGTCTGCATGTTCTCTCTGAGTATGTGTGGGTTCTCTCTGGATACGCCGACATCTTCCTTCTGTCCAAAAACAAGCATGTTAACAGGTAACTTCAGATGTCATGTAAGTGTGAGTGTGTCTTGTTGTCTGTAAAGTCTTCTCTGTGTGGTCCTGTGATAAACTGTCCAGGATGTTCCCTGCCTCTCATCCAAACAGCTGGAATAAATCCAGGCCCACCACGACCATACTAAGAAAAAGCAGCTATAGTGAATAGATGGATTTAGGTTAATAACTGAAAACAATAATAACAATATTTTTTTAATCTCACAAGGAAACAATTTATTATTTTGCACACATTTTTAACTGGAAACTAAATACGAATGACTTATCGCTGTTTTTAAAGGTTGAAGTGGGTATTTCTTGATTAATTAAATACACTCACAAAAAAAAACATACCATTATGTTTATAAGATTTTCTGTTTGTGCCCATTTCACACGACTACAGGACCAGGTTAACATTCCAGTCTGTGTTGATGATAAAGTACCACCTCCACACTTACTTCCCCCAAAACCCTCAAATGAATTATTATGTTTACCAGACTGGAACCCTGACCTTTCCAAGAAAACCATTACAATAATAGAACCTCTGACCTCCGTGAACATTTAGAGTTCAGTTTGATTCTAAGTTTATCACACTCAGATGCAATATTCTTCACAGGGACTTTTTGGTCAATAGCCACATGAATATAAATGGAATGAATTTGCTGCTGGCTTGGAAAGAAAGAAGACAGTCGAGGTTACCGCAGGAAACTGCAATACTGGTTCTGACCATGGATTTTACCAGTAGCTCATGCCGGTCTGAAGTCCAACAACCCACCCTAACTAGTCAGATTATTACAAAATGGTCCACCTTTTGTATATTTATTATCATTTTATTGTTATGAAATGTGCCTCGATATGAACCTGAGAGTTTTTTTTAGTGTTTTCCTAAGAAACATTGATAAAAGACCCTGTCTTATAATAGATCATCTCTGAAAGGTTTGTTATTTTACCATAAAATATAGTATCTAGCATGATGCTCTTCAATAGCCAGTTAGAAGCAAAGTTGTTAGAGTTGTCATAACATAATCTTGACCATTGCCTGCTGTTGAGCCAACACTGCACCCTGGTGGGCTACGGACACTAACACCAATTGTTCAACATATGTATCTGTATAAATTCACTTTTATATAACGATGTGTTTTCTCCTGAATTTTTTTGAGTGACCCTGTGATGGACTGGCGACCTGTTCAAGGTGTGCACTGTCCAGTTGCTCTGTAAATGGCTGGGATAACCCCTCACAGCCCTCCTTGGAATAAATTGGTTCAGCAAATTGATAGATAGGTGAATGTGTATTATTTTAATCAGATGAAGGCAATGATAATGTCATCATTGGTATAGGCTACTTAAATATAATTACTTGATTGTGTGCACTGACTTATGTTTATTTCCAAATGAAAAAGAGTGCTGTTCCAATATCATAATTGTGCTCCCCCCTCTTGAAAATTGGGGTGTTTTTTTTATACTATCCAGTCAGCATTTATTGATAAAAGTTTAGAGGATTTTTACAAAACATAATTCTAAAAACTAAGGAGAATTTCAAGTATCTAGCCTGCTTTTGTGTAAATACATTTTATTCGAAATAACTGACTTGGTAATGTAAGCCTTTTTCATTTGACATGATGTTTGAAAAAAACACTCATTTTTAGACATCACTTGTATGATTTGGAAAATCGTCCAATTTTTAGAGATGGATTTTGGGATTTTTGGGATGCAATTTTTTTCTTGCAAACAAATTATATGCGCTACTTAGTCATAAATCTTCTAAAAATGTCTCATCCCATGTTGCAATCTTATAAACTTTTTCTTTATTTTCATATCCTTAAATAAATAAAAGACGCACTGAATGCTGGGATTCTGCGGGAACGGGGAGATTGTCAAACGCCATCTTTAAACCCCATAAGAGGCCAGCTACAGTTTCATTGGGATGAAAAGCACTCTCTTTATAGCTAGATAATAGGTCAGATCGTAAAAAATATATGTTTCGTTCCAACTCAATTAAATGCCATAGAAGTATCCGATGGGACTGTGAGGAGGCGATCGTGGGAACCTTAAAAATGTTGCTACCATAGGCAGTCAACAACAATAGACGGAAAGACAACAACAACGGACTAGCTCACTAGCAGCTTGCTAAGAACTGCGCTTTTTTCATACGCTAACTGGAAGCTAGCTAACGTTAGCTTCTCGTTTAGCAAACATATCCGGTTGCTCTGAAATCTGACCAAACGGGGACTCCAGTTGTCTGAAAATAGACAGTACCTGCCGAGGCAACCACTTGTTCCTCGGTACTTTAAAACATTTTTTTCTTGTGAAATTGACGTTGATATCCGAGCTAGCTTAAAGCTAAGTCCTGACTTCTCCCCCTCCCCAGCGGCCCAGCCGGAGATGCGTGGAAGATGTCGGTGACGGGGCTGAAGGCCGAACTGAAGTTTTTGGAGTCCATTTTTGATCCAAACCACGAAAGGTTCAGGATAATTGATTGGAAGCCCGACGAGTTGAGCTGCCAGTTTAACGTTACTGGGGAAAAGCTGCTAATTATCCACTGTAATATAACGGTAAGTAGTCAGGAACACAGGAAGAGCTAGTTGTGTACTTCTATTGATGTCAAGCTAAAGTTAGGCTCACAACTTGCTAATCTGGCAGCAATCTACTTGCACAACTATACAGTACGATGCTAGGTTGGATATTAATGCGTATCTTAGTTAGCTAGTGTCAATGGGAGCTCAGTAGAGTTTTCTGACAATTTTGTTGGTCAGTCAACTACGCATTATGTTTTGGAAGCTATCGTAGCATTTTGCTAACGTTGTGTTTAGAATGCTAATGTCGTCAACTTGGGTTTTACGTAAATTATGTAAGTAATATAATTGTGTTTTGCGTTGCTCTACGGCAAAATGCTAGTAAAATGTATCTTTGCAACTGTCTTGCTAGTGTCGTGTTCTGCTGTTTTCAGGAGTCTTATCCATCTACGCCACCGATATGGTTTGTGGACTCCGATGACCCAAGCTTAGCGCAAGTTTTGGAGAGGTTGGAGGATGTCCGCAAAGGAAGCACTCTGGTGGGTTCGCCTTACCTAGTTTTTTAACGTCTTTTATTTGCACTTTGGGTGGATTTTCAGACAGAATTAGTCACAACAGCAAGTATTCCCCGAGTCCAATTAATGTCTCAAATATTGATGTGGACACTGGCATTACAAAGAGTGAGCGTTTAAAGTCTGAATGGCAATTTGTGTGTTCAGCTGACTTTTGGTGTTCTGGTGTTAATAAAGAACTAATTTGGCTTTGACCCACACGTTCATTATGTGTAGAGTATGCAGTTTTGTCTGCTAATGCATACCTCCCTTTGAACTGTAACACACCTAGTGTTACATTGACTAAGCACTGACCACACTTCTACCCAGATAGAACCATTTAAACATTTTGAGACATGATACCAGTCTGCTGTGTTTAATTTCTTAAGACTGATCAGATACGGACTTACTGATGGATTTTGTGGGGGTAGAGAAAACTACCGGGTGTTGTGCAAGTTTTGCACAATTTAGAAATTGTGAACATTTTGTCTCATCTTCAAAAGACAACCTTTAAGGTCCTTGTGCATGTACGAAAAGGTTGCGTTATGCTTGTTTTCAGTTGCTGTTCTATATGTATTAAAACAGATGTGGAGCGAGTGTGAGTGCGCACAGCTGTTAAATCCTGAGCTGTCCTGAAAACAAGGACTGTCCTGAAAACTTTTGTCTGACTCAAAATCACATTTATGTAACCAGGTACACATTGGTACATCGATCTATGGGGATTTAGATGATCACAAAGCCAAACTTCACCTAGCATTATCTGTTTCCAAATGACAGTTACCTTTGCACTGAAGGGAAATTGAGTTTTTTTAAATCAGCTGATTATAATTCCTCGCAAATCTTCATATATTATAAAGGGTTTTCTTTGTTCATGTGATTCAAACTGGGACAGTCGAGTCGCTTAAAGGAGTCGCATAGACTGCTGAAAAATTTGGCTCCTATAAAGTGTTATCTGGCTAAAACACAATGGACAAGATAGAAATTTAAGAATAGAAATGTTAGGCTTAATGTGGAAGTTCTTTAAAAAAAAAAATTTTTTGTCATTTACTACAGTGAACCATTTATGTCTCCATAAAGCATAAAGCAGAGTTGAATAATTGTTTTCTTTTGTGACTCCACTGTATGTGAGGACCTAAACAGACTGAGGGCAGCACAGCCACCATGTTTTCACTGGCCAGTATCTCTGCTCGTCCTGCGTGTCGGCCTGCATCAACCACATTTTGATTACTTTTTATTTTTTTATTTTTTATATATTTTTTTTTAGATTTTAGTGTCTAAAAAATGTTTGTCAATTTTTTGACATACACCGATTTTGTGGCCATGCCCGCTGTCAGTTAGAAAACTGCACGCATTTTGGTACATCAAACTTCTATGGCAACCATTTCATTATGTAACGCCGTTCATTTGCCGATAGCCTAAGAACTTCCACTCGGAATTCGCTGCTTTAACGACTCAGAACATGTATTTTTGTATGGATATCTGTTTTGTATCGAGGGTTTTGAGTTTGCACGTGAATTTAAGCTATTTTGGGTTGAGTAAACAGCGTTTGTTAAAGATGAGCTTCAGATTAGAACTAATCTCGTCTTAACTGAATAGATAAGATCAGTCTCCTTATGTCAGTTCCACAGATGTTTTAGAGCTCTGCCTTGTTAGAACTGCACCAAAATTGCAAAGGCTGAACACGCTTATGGCAGTTTTACCCATTGGTACACATGGGTCACATTTTATTTATTTATTTGATTGATTGAAGGGTAATTCTATGACTAAAACATCATTCCAAGATGGCTCCCTTGTAAATCAAGGAACACCTTTTTTTGTGATCCTCTCAAAAAGCTCCAAATATGCAATTAAGAAATTTGTCATTGACATTTTCAGTTCAGTATTTCAGTATTTAGACAAAACCAATGCTGTATGATATACTGGGAACAACACCCAGAATGCATCTGTGGTGGGATACATGTCTGATAGGGAGATGCAGTCATATGACAATGGCTGTCTTTGTCTTTGAGTTCAAGCATTGTAATATCTCTATATATGTTTGTAGTTTTTGTGAGTCGTCTGATGTTTATATCAATATGTTGTCAAGTCTCAAGGGAGTGTTTTGGTCAAAATTTATAGCTACGCTGACTTATTTCCAGGCTTTGCAGTATTCTACAGTCTCAGCTTGTAATGGAGCCTGGCTTTTAAATAGGAATGAAGTCATTCTTTATCTTCCACCTGGCACAGTCATGAATCTCTACCTTTGCTTTCAGGAACATATGATTTAACAAATGAACAGGATACGCACACAGACACACGCACACACACACACAAATATTTCTGCCATGAGGCATTGGTCATTAGTTGCATTTGCAGACTTGAATAATCTAGACAGTGTAAGTCGGTCTCCCCTCATCATTGTTGTGTTCCCCCTCTAGCTTTTGCAGCAGCTGAAAAAACTCATTTGTGACCTTTGTCGGCTGTACAACCTTCCACAACATCCTGACGTGGAGATGCTTGACCAGCCCCTGCCTGCAGGTCCTGTTGGACAGGACCGAAAGGTAAGTGTGTAAAGTTCATGTCGGTGACATTGCAGCTCCGAAACAACAGTTCCTACTTTAAAATGGAGCAATTATTTTGGTTTCGTAAGTTCCTTGGAATATGCACCGCTTTGACTTATAAACAGCGTTGGTTATTGAATAAGGCTGTTATCACAGCTGGTTAGTGTGTTTGTGAACTCATGGTGGTCAGTACAGTGTGGACCCCTGTGTTTATTAAGAAAAAAAAAAAAGAAAAAAAATGCTGGCTAGACGAGGGCAAGTTTTTAGACTGATCTACCCGGCTGGATTAAAAGTCTTGTGTGTGTTTGTAGCATGGAACAGAGGAGGTCACGTCCGAAGAGGAGGAAGAAGAGGAAATGGGAGAGGTAAGTTTTGGTTAACACTTTCCTTTGACTGTACATTTATATTAAGGGGTGTATGATTCTACAGATTTACTTGCTTTTCTGTCATCTAAATCACATTTTTAGAGGGAGTGTTCAGGTGGTTGACATTTTTATGCTGTATACTTTACTGTTTATTGACCTGAAGCAGTTTGACCATTTGCATTTTTACAGCCCTCAGTGTATATTTTTATTTGCAAGATATCACAAATCTTTTCCCAGGACATCGAAGACCTGGACCACTACGAAATGAAAGAGGAGGAGCCCGTTGATGGGAAGAAATCTGAGGACGATGGCATCGAGAAAGAGAATCTGGCAATCCTGGAGAAGATCCGAAAGAACCAGAGACAAGACCACTTGAATGCAAGTGTCAGTTGGTAGAAATGCCTTTTTTATCTTTATTTGGGGTCTAACATAAATCCTATTGTAGGTCAGAATAAACTGAGGAGTTTTTGGTACACAATTTGTTATCTGAGAATAGTCAAAGTCACCCGTTTTATGTCTGCCCTTCACAAACCTCCGCTGCGTTTCCACTGGATGACATGAGATTTTACATCTTCCTGTTCAGTGACTCATCTGAGCAGCTGACTGTGTCTGAAAGTTGCCAAAGCAGAAATATATTATTATTGCTGTGAAATCAATATTTCATGCTTGTTATATTCTGCTTTGACTTATTTTCTCTCTTTTTTTTAAAATATATTTTGGGCATCTTTGAAACGTTAGATCTGCACAATGCTAAATATTGACATCCAGACAGACGGAGCTGTGCCTTTGATGTCAGCCCAGATGGAGTGCAGATGACAGGTTTTCCTCAGTGGTACAGTCCAAAGCACGCCTCGGTTTTTGATTTTTTTTCTTCCTCCATCATTTTGCAGGGAGCTGTGTCTGGTTCAGTGCAAGCCTCTGACCGCCTGATGAAGGAGCTGAGAGAGATCTATAGGTCTCAGAGCTACAAGACAGGTATGCACACTCCAACCATAGATGGTGTCCTGTCATTATGACAGACGAACACCGCTTAACATCAAGCAATGCATTGTGGTCACTGGTTTGGACACACGGGCAGCATTCACATGTCACTGAAAACTCATTAGATCCATTTCCTTTTCAGGCATCTACTCAGTGGAGCTGGTTAATGATAGCCTGTACGAGTGGCACGTCAAACTGAGGACGTGAGTAACTTGTCATGTATTACTGCCTTTTTTCCCCCTCTGTCAGCACAAAACCCAGACTGATTGCTGTGTTTACTGGCCAACAGGGTGGATCCGGATAGCCCTTTACACAGTGATTTACAGGTCTTAAAGGAAAAGGAAGGAATGGATTACATCTTACTAAATTTCTCATATAAAGTGAGTAAAGTATTTGCATGCACCGGAGTCAGATTGAGTCTTGGTATCCTTTAAGTCTGATGATGGAGTTTTTTTTTCTTTTTGGTTGTTCACACAGGATAATTTCCCCTTTGATCCACCATTCGTCCGGGTTGTTTCACCGGTGCTTTCTGGAGGGTCAGTTTCTTTGTTTGGCACAGTTTTCACAAGCTTCCTCAGTCAATAATTGCCATCGTGAAAGTCATGATTTCACATTACCTTTTAGCTGTGATCGCTTCTGTCTGATGATGTATTTTTCTCTTGGTTTAGTTATGTTCTTGGAGGGGGCGCCCTGTGCATGGAACTTCTCACCAAGCAGGTGGGTGCTTTTTTATCCCCGCCATTCCTGTGTTTCCAGTTTAAAAAGCTGCTCTTAATGTCCTGGGGTTTGTCGATTGCAGGGTTGGAGCAGTGCCTATTCCATTGAGTCTGTCATCATGCAGATCAATGCCACTTTAGTCAAAGGAAAAGCCCGAGTGCAGTTTGGAGCCAATAAAGTAAGCGAGGATGTTTTTCATTTCAGGTTTATGATGGGTTTGCTGGACAGCAGAAATAATCTGGACCGCCTTCAAGCAGCTTTTACGCAATATGTCGGTTTCTGCTGCCAAATTGTGTTTTTTGGTATATTTTAAGTCAGTTGGCCAGCGCGATATTTATGTTGGAAAGTTCTTTAAAACTGCAGAGTAATATGAGAAGTTGACACTTGTTTCTTATATTTACACGATTTGCTATTATATAGACTGTTTGCCATAACCTTCCCAGTTTTTTTTTCTTGTAACTGACGACTATGTACATTTTCTAGTCTGATCAAAGGACACGTCAGAGTGCCTTTCATAGGAAACTGCTAAAACGAGCTACACTCTGAAAAATCAGAAATGTATGGAAGAGCAGAGTTTCATGCTCCCAAAACCCAGGCTGCCATCCAAACACTAAAGTTGTTGTCATTTTCACTTCGTAAAACAGAACCAGTACAATCTTGCCAGAGCACAGCAGTCCTACAAATCCCTGGTTCAGATCCATGAAAAGAACGGTGAGTGTGTCTGTCTCCAGTTTCATACTGACTACATCACTGACCTTGTTTACTGAAACTGAATCCCTCCTTTACATCAAAGCGGGGGGATATTGGTGCTCGGGCTGTCGTGCATGTAGCGAACATGGACGATGATTATGTGCATGTAGTCCACAGGATTACAGTCTATTTATGTAACTCTTATGTGTATGAGGTTTTTATGTACAAAATGCTATAGACATTATTTACGATCTTCACAGCAATATGTGTCAGGTCTCTAAAGCTGTCATGAACTGATAAACCAAGTTATGGTCCAGATAATATACGTTATCATCTGTCGGGGACACCTGCGGGCTGCTTGTTGTGCTGACCTTCTTCAGTCGGTTTGCTTTTAGGATGTCACAGGGTTCTGAAGTGTCTCCAGGCAGAAAGGCATTAAGCGACTAACCTGAGCAGCTCACCTTTCTCTTCTTAAAAAACGTTTCAGATCTGGACTAATCTTTTTTCCGAGTGCTAATCAAAGGGGACACGTCCGATTTTAAAGTTGGAATGATGTGTGTTATTGGAGGAAAATTTAGCATTATGTTAATTTCCATTGTTCTTGACCTAAATAAGGAGGACGCTGCATTTTAAAAATAAAACTGCAGATGGCTTTATGTAAGCTGCATCTAGCCCTGTCAGGCTTGTTAAAGCTGGATTTGATCGTAAGTAAAATGAGAGCTGAACACCCTGCTGAATCATGCGTCCCCCAGTGCCAGCGTTCAACACTTTGTTCCTCTTTGTGTTTTGATTGGTTTTTCTCAAACCTGACCTGTTTGGAAATGCTGATACAAGCTAGCAAGGCAGACAATGAACGGAATAGATTGGGTTTCTTAGTGCTGTCTGCCTGTAATCACGCCGGCCTCTGTGCTTCTCTTCCAGGCTGGTACACACCCCCTAAGGAGGACGGCTAGTACAGACTGTTGCCTTTCCTGCACTGGGACCTCATGTCTTAGATTTTTCTTTTCCTTGCGACCAACGTTTTTCTTTTTCCCCCTCCTTTTAAAAAAAAAAAAAAAAAAAATCCAGCAACCTATTTTCTTTTCCTCATGACAGTTTGACCTCCAGACCAAATTCCTAATACACTGACCACCCAAAAGCGAGCACAGGGACACAGATATGTTCACCCCAGCCTAAAGTTGGACACTTTTGCTACTGGCACGGTGTCCTCTCTCCAGATCCTCATCTCACCCTGCATCTGCTATACGATGTAGTTTCATGTTGTTCTTTTTTGTTTTTCTTCATCCCACAATCTGGAAATTAGTGGACAAAACATCTGGTAAACTCACCCTCCTGTTTAGTTTTTCTTTAATGGGGTATGTAGAGGTTTCTTGCTGGCTTTGAGCTGAACAGTGCAGCATGTTTCTGCTTCCCTGGCCAAACACCGGATCCCAGACTGCCATGCAACACTTCCTGATATGACACAGAGGCAGCTGGGACAAGTTTTTTTTTTTTTTTTAAAGCTGGTCGGTGGGACAAACCCGCTACCTTTCCTCTCCTTGGATGGCCTCTGTAATATTGTGCTCATGTGTCATCTTTTTAATACCAAGACCCTTCCTTTGAGAGGTGGGGAGGAAAGAAACTTCAGAGGCGATTTGCTTTCATACCTCTTATCTTTTAAAGCTGAAAGTCCTGACCCGGGATAAGGAAGACTTTTTGCAGGCTGATTGGGGACAGCTCATGATGAAAAACAGCATGTTGCCGGCTTCTGAACTCGGAGGTCGTCCCATCGTCCCAACCCAGAGACGGACAGCTCTCTGCTGGAGAGGTTTGATGTGCGGTTGGTCCATGATCAGGCAAAGCAGGGGCATGTTTGGATTGGATCACACTGTTATGTAGTTGATTTTAACTCCACTGTAAACATGTATATTTGTATTTCTGCAAATGGATTTAATTGTTTATAATGTAACCTTGTTTAGGTCTTTGGCTGGGCAGAGACTGTATTGCAATATACACTTGACTATTAATGGTTGGGGCACTGCAACTTCTCAAGACCCATTAGACTACAAAAAAAGAAAAAAGTGCTTCATGGATTATCTTGAAGCATTAGAAAGAAACAAAAGTGCACCATATTCTTATGTAAGCTTAAAAGACTACTGCAGTTTTGTTAATTTCTTTTTTTTCCCCTCTTTTTTTGGGGGGGATCTTAATATTTTTTTTCAACAGAGACCATGCCACCCACCACCCCCCCTTGTTGTTTGATGGCACTTCATAACCACAGCGGCGGTGACAGTAATCAGACAGACCTTAGGTACCAGTTGTTTGGCTGTTCCTATCTAACCGCTTAAACTACATGACCTCAGTGAGACTATGCAGTGAGGATTAAAAAAAAAAGGAGGTTTGTCGTCACCTGCTTAGTTCTAGAAGCTGGTTAGCATCCTGACTACCTGCCCAGTTACGCTGTCTGGGGAGGGGGGAAAAAGTGACCTTTACCTTTTTGAACTTTCCTTAAACTCGAGCCTGCTTCAGATACAGCCACAGTTGCATGTTCACAGCAATAGTCTCCACCAAAATACCGTCTAGCCTCACACCTGGGAAAATCGACTGGAGTCTGTTCCATTTCCAGAGCATTTGTTCAGGTTTGATAAATATTTGTTCACACTCACCACAGGAAAGCCTGGGCAGTTCCCATCGCCACTTCTCTGGTTACTATTCATGACCACTCTCGGCACCGCTGTACCCTCTCAGCGCGCCGAGGATTTGATGTAATGTGAATAATATGCAGAAAACTGTGTGGAGCATTCCAATTAATGCAGTTACACGTTTGTCGTGGGTGTTCTGTTGTGTGGCTTCTTTGCGTCTTATCGAGTATATTGTCCTGATAACCAGCGTATAAGGCCTGGTTATGCTGTTTCATAATGTCAGTCCTCATTTTGGAGTTGATTTATTTTTATTTTTCTAAGTCCCAGGGTGACAAAAACCTCACTGACAAGAGATGGATTGATGCATACACACTTTTTCATGTTCAGCACATCGGACTCGTTTAAACTCGCAGAATACAAAGAAGGATTTTCTTTCTTTTTTTTCTTTTTGTTTGTTTTCTTTTCAATCACACAAACTACGATTCATCGGCATGGTTGTTAGCTGTTGTGACGTGCATTGGTAATATACTAATCGCCCCCTTCTGGTCACATTGTTGAGCCCACCCATGCATTTTCTGAAGAGGCAAACTCAGGAATACATACTGCACACCCTTCTTTGCAAAGGATTGCTTCTTACAACATCATCCCAAAAGATCGATTTTTCTTCTCCATTTTAATTTATATTTTCTCATTTTAAATTGCCACCATGTTTTAGCTGAGGACATTGTGGTGTGTTTTTGCAGCTGCATTCCGGACACGCCTCATTATTTAGGCAGAGGATTACTAATTGACTGTTGTGGATGATCAGATATGTGCAGCAAACCCTCAGATAAACCGCTGTGGGGTGAGGGCTTGTCTTTGATATTGCTCTATTTTGCATGTCAGCATATCCAAACAAAAACGGGGAAAAAAAAGGAAGATCTGGAAGACAGCGTGGTTGTGTTGGGTGGCTAGAAAGACTAGATGTATCATCTTTTCATGACTTCATGCACGGACCTGGCGATGGAGGTGGAATTACCGTCTAAAGCAGGCAGAGTGGGGCCCTGCTGACCTCTGGAGTGATGGGTGTGCCCTGGTCCAGTGCTCTGAACAGCTTCTCTTACGCCAGTACGTCTGACTAACAACAACTTCTCGGCTTAGATGAGTAACACATTGTTCTGAGACTGAACTGTTCTGGCTTTGTTCCCTCGCTTCATTAACTGCGGTGGCCAGGTTATAAAGTTATGCACTGTAAGCATGCTTCGGGTTTGGTTTCTTTTTTTTTTTTTTTCCATTGCAAGGGTGATTTTGACAATGTAATTTGTAAACTTGCATCAAGTTTATGAATAAAGACTTTTATGAAATAACGAGATTCTTTTTTCTCTCTGTAATTCTTTGATGAGAGTGGAGGGTTATTTGAACGAAAGATGATGCATGAACAGCTTTTCGAACAAAATTCTTTCATCTTATGAAACGGCTTCTGGTCACAAAGAAGTGAAATTCACCTGCTACCTTTGACACTGGGACCTCTTTTGTATGTCCAGAGTTGGGATAATGTTGCGTGCCTTTAAGTGATTTTAGCTTGTATTTTTAATATTTTCCAGCAGATGGAGTTATTTGTCCAAATATCCTGCACTGCTTTCACAGACATCTGATTTAACTTGTGAGAGTGTCCACATCCTTTTCCTAAACAGAAATGCAGCCCATGAGCCATGATGCATGCATTTCTTAGTGATTTACTTAAGTTTGTGAAGCTGAACGTTAGATGGTGATGTGGGGAGGATTTCCCCAGGGCCATCTGTAACAGGGTCTGCTTTCAATTCCATTCAATCTGTTTTCATTATTGTGAACCCCTAAGGTATGATATATGACCTAAAAATAACCAAATATTAATCTTTATACTTGGAGACATTAAGAGACCTAATAAGAGATATTAAGAGGTAAAGATTTGACAGTAAAAATTGTCTGAGGCTGGTTTTCAGTCTCAAATTATTCATGTAGCTGGAAGTTTCTGGTTTTTTAATTATTCAAAAATGAAAAACCACATTTCAGCTCATGATCACACCACGTCGGTATTATCATGCCAGCACATTTTTATCTGGAAAGCCCACAGAGAAAATTCCTATTGACACAACCACCACCTGAATGTTGACGCTGCTCTTGCATCCTTTCGGTTTGTTTTGTGCACAAATTGTCTCCTTTCGATTGTTCTGCCCTACGCCCATCTCATTCATTCACCCCAGTTTCCCTCCCGTTAAAAAGTGCTTCAGCAAATACTTTTTTCAAGTAAAAATCACTAAACTGTTTTAGTTTTTGAATAAACAGTGTGTAAACTTTTTCAGCCTCTGATTCTATGCCTGTGAGTGCTGTGTCACACCACTAGATGGTATTGGAGCACTCTTATAACTTTTTGTACTTTTTCTCTCTCTCTTTCTTCTTAAAACCAACGCATCCTACAGGCTTGTAACATCAGTCAGCAGAAGGAGCTTCATTATAAGAACGACTCCTCTTCAAGGTTGAATGAATGAATAATTAGGTCATTTCTTACAGTGAGGGCTGTGAACTGATGGGCTGCAGACCTGGATGGATGTGGATTGCTCATTTTCTCGCTGTGTGTTGAGTTAGATGCCGCTGTGTGGTTGGATGGCACTCCCCTCTCAGCTGTCCGGTTTCTCATGTCTCTAATGATGAGCATGAGAGCTTCACTTGATTGAAAAATAAAATTTTGTGGGTTAGATCTTGTCGATACATGTCTGAGAACTCAAAGAGAACCCACAGTCTTTCAGAACGTTAAGAGATCCAATCTGAATGACAAACTTTGGGGAGTATGAGAGTGATAAGTGGACCTCTATGGATGTAAAATGAAAGGCCAATTGGCCTGTTGTTGCAGGCATTATGTTTGTTTTTGTGCGGCTTTGGGCAGCCGACCTTATTATCCAGTTTCAGCCTAAGTTTGTGAGTATGCTGCCGTCCACACACAAACACACACACACACACACCACTGAGGAGACCGATGTGTTTCTGGGTCTAGATGCAGGCCATTCTGCGCCATGGCCACACTGAGACAGAGAGAAAAACCTGACTTTTTCCTTCTTTCACCCGGAGCATAAGTGCACCACGTGGGCTGCATTCAAAGTCAGCTGGGGTTGATTGATGGCCAGCGGCTTAACGTTTGCGTCCATTAGAGCTTGACCCTCACTATTCTAGCTTCCACCGGTAACACACTGAAGTGTATGTACGGATTCAGACTGAACGTGTCAGAGGAGATGTCAGGATCTTAGCCTTTCGCCTACCTATTAATCCTCCCACTGACCAGAGTGACGGGTCAAATGCTGCATAACGGACACATGAAC